GTGTGCGGGCGGCCTGACGCCTTCTCCGGATGGCTTTCGTGGAGACTAACCCAGAAAAACTTCGAGAACTTACAGAAGAAGCAAAATCCAAAGAGAATAAAGATCTGGGATTTTATCCGTCTGCTGTTGATGCCGCTGATAACTGGATAGCTAAGTTTTTTTCTCCGAAGGATCCCTTTCACTCAGGTGACCACGTTTATTTCTTGCTTATATGTAGATAAGGGTTATCCTTACACGTATAAGCCAGCAGGAAATTTTCTAGCTAGACCTATGCTTAACACCGATCTCCATTTGGGTACAACATGGGGCACGAATTTAAGACCATTTAGACCGAAATTTTGTCAAATTATGGAGCGCGATTACTTAAGGTACCCTAGCTTGATATGACGCCATGTCTAGGTGCCTGGGACGAGTTGGAGTACAAAATTCGGACAAAATTTGTCGACTTTACTGGGAAGACTTGCAAGAATGTCAGTCACATGACAAATCTGTACGTCAAAATCAAATTAATCTGTTCTCTTTCCTTAGAGAAAGCGAATATTGTATATGGAAAAGGTCCGGAAGCAGAAGAATTTCCCTCCAATGGATCCTCCACCCTATTCAAGTATTCCAAGATACTTTTGAAGTCGCTTTGTTGCTTGGAAATCACTTGTTTCCTAGATAGTTGTAGTTTGTATAGAATGTCACTGTTTGCCGCTTGTGAAAGCTCCTGTTAAATTTCTCTGCTCCATCTGCTCAGCCTTCTTTCGATTCTTTGGATTCCACGTTCTAATTTCCCACCACCCCACCTAGAAACCTTGTGCTTGGTAAACCTCTGGGTCGCCTGTTCTCACTCGTTCTATCAGTGCTGTGAGTATCTACTAGGTAAAAGGCGAATCAGGCTCCTATATATTCTGCCGTTTGACGAACTATAGTTTTCATTCGATTTGCATCGAGGAAAAAACAGGAGCTGTATTATGGGATTGACTTAAGTTACCCATTGCCTGTTTTGCTTTCTGCTGAGCCCATTTTGAGCAATTCTTTTATACTTACTTAATTTCCACTCGAACAGTGTATTCGTTGCAACGACATCACGAGGACAACCCAAGTCATCCATAAAGAACGGCTAAATGGGTATATTGTCCAGCACGCACCAAATAAAATCAGTTTTGCTGCCCGACGCCTTATTTATATCTTTCCATACCTTATCTATCAGGCCTTGATGCTGTCGCAAATTATACCATCATGCATGAACATCTGCGCCTGTGGGTCCACAGATCTCGATCCATACTCCAGCGACGGAGGGCGAATACCGAAGGCCCATGAACCACCTCTATGTCTTGCAAACAGTGTAGATTCAGGTTTTGGTGTGGCTTCCTCCACACCTCCAGGTGGTCAACGGCGCTGGATTGAAAGCGTCAACGCTGTGCTTATCAGGTTGACGCCGAGTGACTCGATGTGCTAGTAGCGAGTGCGGACTGCCTCATCTGAGATCAAGTCAGTATGCATGCTTAGCTGGTTGTTTCTCAGGTGGCATTTGCCAAACACCTTCGTTTTTCACGCACACACAGCCCAGTATTCACGACTGGTAAGGAGAAATAACCGGATGGCATTCCGCACAGGCAAAACCCTGTGCGACGATGTTACATCATATCAGCAGACCTTTTCTGAGGACTGTGAAAACCTTGTCCAGAGTATCTATTCGGGAAAGGATGTCGTTTTCACTCGTGCCTTGGGCACCGGGTTTCGCCCTGAAGTTTCTGAAAATATCCAGTTCCCAAGTCGACAGTCATTAATTGTGAGGAGTTCTTTTTTCCTCGTCATGACTGTAATTAGAAAACATTTTGATCCCCGTGTTTGTCGATAAGCCAATCGTTTTAGATACTTCATTCATCTATGATGCCACATACGATAGATCACGAACAGTGTATAATCTTGTCGAACGCCTGATGGAATATCGAATGGTTGGGAGAGGGTTGCTGGCCAGAACTCGCGCAGTGATGGGACAATAGTAGATCTTGATGATGTCAACGATTTTTCCGGCAAACAGTCTTCTTCCATTATCCGCCACAGCTATCCACGATG